TTGTATGGTGGTAATAAAACTATATGATGGTAACTAGATTATATGAAAAGTGGTAGGTGGATTATATGGTGGTAATTAAAATTATATGATGGTGGTAACTAGATTATATAAAGTGGTAGTTAAATTATAGTAAAAGTGGTAGGTGGATTATATGGTGGTAATTAAAATTATATGATGGTGGTAACTAGATTATATGAAAGTGGTAGTTAAATTATAGTAAAAGTGGTAGGTGGATTATATGATGGTAATTAAGTTATATGATGGTGGTAATTAGATTATATAAAGTGGTAGTATTTTAGATTATATGGTGGCGCTGAGCCAGAATTGGGGTTTTCATACTACTGATAATCTCTTATTTATAAAATTAATTATTTTGAATTATACTACTGGAATAATACTCTTTTTGTATAATTCAAAAACTACAAGACAATTCTTAACTGCTAACTATTTACTTAATTCCAATTAAGTAAAATTCTAATACTATTTATAATAAATATTAAAAATGAAAATAATTAATAAAATAAATATAATAAATAAATCAAATAAAATAATTATAATAAATAAATAAAATAAATTGAATAAATTGAATAAATCAAATAATTTGAATAAATTAAATAAATTTAGTTAAATAAATCAAAAAAATTGAAAAAATTGAAAAAATTGAAAAAATTAAGGAATTTACAAAATAATCTATATAAAATTACTATAGTACTTCTATATTATTATTATACCCTTTTATTTTTAAATGTATTAGTACAACATTCATTATTATTACAGCAATAAGTATTCTAAATATATTAAAAATAAAATCAATATATTAATAATATAAATAATTTCAAAATTATATTAATTATATTAATTGTAAAAATATTATATTATATTACCTTTTCACAATAGCCACCATTATCACAACAGGTTGTATCCTAATAAATGTTACAAAAATTAATAAAATTGATATTTATTATAATATAAATAATAAAAATAAAATATTTAATTACAGCAGGTATACATCCATCTTGACAACAAACAGGATAATCCTAAATATAATATATAGTAATTAATATATCAGAACTCAGAAGGGTTAAATAATATTAATTGTATTAATAATAAGTTAACAATATCAGTTGTATTATATTTACTTTATCACAATAACCACCATTGGCATCATTACAGCAGGTTGCATTCTAAATGTATAAAAATTAGCAAAATTAATATTTATTATATTGTAAATAATAAAAATGAAATATTTTAATTACAGTAGGTATACAATCACTTTGACAACAAACAGGATAATCCTAAATATAATATATAGTAATTAATATGTATGCCAGCGAAATTATATATTAAGCTTGTCATAATTACCCCTTCACAAGTATGGCCATCATCACAACAGGTTACTCCCTGGATGTACAAGAAAAATTGCTAGTAAAATTGATATTTTGACTTAAATCATAGATAAGAAAATGAAGCATATACCTTAGGGCAGATCTAAATGGGCAAAAATTCACTGTTAGTAATATCACATTATTGATGACGGATTAGAAAAATTAAGCTATTATTACATTAATAAGTGGGACCACAGTAGATTTTGGCTTTATTGCTGCTGTTCTCAGAAATGTTTCTTGTCTCAAGGCCATAATCTTTTGGGAAATAACCGGGTTAAAAGTAATTAACAGAAATACCAAAGGACCAAAGAGTTTCATGATTTATTGAATTAAGAACAAAAATTTAAGCAAATATTAAATATTATGCGTTCTATCTTTAGGAAAAAAAAACTCTCTTGTATATTTAAAAACTAATTTGCGACCTTGAAAGAAAAAAAAATCGATAAACGTAAAAAAAATGGGATCATAAGAATTTATTTTAGTATTTATCGAATATCGTTACTATTTATTCTATTTATTTTTTTTTTTATTTTGTGAACACGCCTAAATGCGGTTTCAAATTAAATTTGAAAAAGTAAAATTTTCTTGCTATAAGAGGGATATACTGTATATCATTTATATCATTTACACATAATTATTGTATTAAGGGAAAATTTTTGTGTTGATCGAGCAAAATTATGTAAAAATCACATTTTAATTTCTAAATCAAATACTTACCCTATAAAATTTACCCGTTATTTCTGTAAAAACTCCGTAAAAATGAGCCTTTCACGGATCTATTCACGGAAAATGTAATAATTTGGGAATATAAAAAACGGATCGACTTTTTTTACAGGGTTATAGTATCGTTCGCAATTATTAATTATAACATTTATTCTTTATCTACAGTATTTATATAAATACAACATATTCAAGTAAAAATTTTGCCAATACCTTTAGGATAATACTAGGCTAATAATTAATAAATTTTTTTGGATTAAATTTTATCGACGGAGCCACAACTCAAATACTAAAATAGGAAATTGGTCTTGGTATAAAAAATTAATTATACAAATAACGATCTCCAACGATCGCATAATAATCCTGAAAATTCAAAATTTCGACACTTATTATCC